CATGGTATCGTTTATGGCTCAGAAATTTTTCATTTTAATGTACTCCAATTTATCTCTTCTTTCTTTTGTGGCATATGCTTTTGGTGCTATAGCTAAGAAATCCAAGGTCACAAAGAATTTTTTTTAAGTAATCTCTGTGCCCAATGTGGGGCTTGAACTCACAACCTTGAGATCAAGAGTCAGATGCTCTACTGACTGAACCAGCCAGATGTCCCCAAGGTCACAAATATTTACTCCTGTTTTTTGTAAGAGTTTTAGAGTATTAAATCTCACCTTTGGGTCTGAGTTAATTTTTATGTGTAGCCTAAGGAAGAGGGAGATGCAACTTCATTATTCTTTTTCATTGAACTTTTTTTGCACCTTCACCTTATTTTTTAGAGATATTTTTACCGACTATAGAATTCTACCGTGACAGTTTTGTCTTTCAGTACTTTAAAAATATTGCTCCACTGTCTTCACTTAACACTGTTTCCAGTGAGAAATATGCTGTCATTCTATCTTTGTTTCTCTGTATATATCATGGGGTTTTTTTTTTTCTCTTGCTACTTAAGATTTTTCTCATTATCACTGGTTTTGAGTGATTTAATTATGATGTGCCTTGGCATAATTTTTTTCACGTTTCTTGTACTTGGGGGTTCATTGAACTTCTTGGATCTGGTATTTGCAGTTCTAATCAAGTTTAGAATTTTTTCAACTATTGTTTCTTCACATATATTTTCTGCCCCCCGCTTCTCTTCTCCTTTGGGGACTCCAGTTACGTATTAATCTGCTTGAGATGATTCCACAGCCCACTGATGCTCTTTTAATTTTTATGATTTATTTTCCCCTCTCTGTGTTTAACTTTGGGCAATTTCTTCAAGGTAACTAAGCTTTTCTTTAGCATTATCTAATTTGCCATTAATCCCATCAGTGGATGTTTCATCTCCTACTATGTTATAGTTTTCATACTTAGAAGTTTAGTTTGAGTCTTTTTTTATATCCTCTATTTCTCTCTATAATTTTTAATAATTTTTAATATATGGATAGCTATAACTTTTAATGTGCTATCTACTGATTCTATTATTTTTGACAGTCTGGAGTAGTTTAACCATCATTATGTATCGTATTTTCCTGCTTCTTTGCCTGATCTCTCTTTTTTTTTTTTTTTTTTTTTTTTGGACAGCCAAACATTGTGAATTTTCTTGTTGGGAGCTGGTCATTTTCATATTCCTATAAACATTTTTGAGCTTTGTTTGGAACACAGTTATTGGGAACAGTGTGATCTTTTTAGGTCTTGCTTTTAAGATTAGTTGGTGTGACTGCAACAGAGCTCAGTCTAGGGTTAATAGTTCCCCATTACTGAGACAAGACCCTCTGTATACTCTAGCCCCAGTACCCCATGAATCTTGAGTATTCCAGCCTGTCTGGTGGGAATCAGCACTAGTCCATGCCCTCCATGAACATCAGGCACTGTTTCTTCTTTTTTTCTTTTTTTTAAGATTTTGTTTATTCATGAGAGACACACAGAGAGAGAGAGAGAGAGAAAGAGGCAGAGACACAGGCAGAGGGAGAAGAAGCAGGCTCCATTACAGGGACTCGATCCCGGGACTCCAAGATCACACCCTGGGCCAAAGGCAGGCACTAAACTGCTGAGCCACCCAGGGATCCCCAGCACTGTTTCTTCTAATCCTTTCAAATATTTCTATACTCAGCCATGGCTGATTTCCTCACATGCACGTGCTGATCCATACCCAGCTGAGTTCTGGAGGGGAGCCCTTCACAAATCACCAGTGATCTCTCTGTGTGCAGCTGTCTCTTCTCCTAAATTCTGCCCTGTGAACTCTAGCTACTTTCCAGATTCTCAGTCATGTCCTCAACTCAGGGTCCATGCTCTTCCTGTGCTCCCCTTCCCTGCGCCACATTCTAAAAACTCTAGGCAGTAACCTGGGGCAATTGGGCTCACTTTATTTGTTTCTCATCCCTCAGAGGTCACTGTCTTCCATACCCATTTCTTGTAAACCATGGTTTCATGTATTTTATCCATTTGGTTGTTCAGGTAGGGTAAATCTGACCCCTGAATTTGTCGGGAAGCAGAAGTCTACTACATTATTATTATTAGCTGTTTCAAGGGACACCTGGGTGGCTCAATGGTTGAGCATCTGCCTTTGGCTCAGGGCATGATCATGGAGTCCTGGGATCAAGTCCCCTGTTGTGCTCCCTTCATGGAACCTGCTTCTCCCTCTGCCTAGATCTCTGCCTCTCTCTGTGTGTCTCCCATGAATAGATAGATAAAATTTTTTAAATGAAATAAAATAAAAGCTGTTTCATATCAGATATGGGGGAAGTAGGAAGCCTATATATACTTAATAAATGGCAACAAGACAATCAGCTTTTTATTAAAGAAATAATTAAGGGATCCCTGGGTGGCTCAGTGGTTTAGCCCCTGCCTTTGGCCCAGGGCGTGATCCTGGAGACCTGGGATCAAGTCCCACGTCGGGCTCCTGCATGGAGCCTGCTTCTCCCTCTGCCTGTGTCTCTGCCTCTCTCTCTCTCTCTCTGTGTATGTGTCTATCATGAATAAATAAATAAAATCTTTAAAAAAAAATAATTAAATTAGAATCCCTTCCTCAGTGTAAATTCTAGCTAAATTAAAGAATCTTAACTTGAATATCAAAACTATAAAAGTATTAGAAGAAAATATAGAAAAATATGTTTATTTTTTCAGACTGATGAAAGGCCTTTCTAAATAAAATCTGGAAGCCATAAAAGAAACAATTAGCACATTTGCTTACAAAAATTAAAGCTTTCTATAAGTCATAGCAAAAGAGAAGCACAGATTGGTAGTTAATACTTTTTAAAAGGGGAAGAATGGGGATCCCTGGGTGGCGCAGCGGTTTGGCGCTTGCCTTTGGCCCAGGGCACGATCCTGGAGACCCGGGATCGAATCCCACGTCAGGCTCCCGGTGCATGGAACCTGCTTCTCCCTCTGCCTGTGTCTCTGCCTCTCTCTCTCTCACTGTGTGACTATCATAAATAAATAAAAATTTAAAAAAAAAAAAAAAAGGGGGAAGAATGTCCATAATGCATAAAGAACCATATGTATTTTTTAATCTATAAGAAAAACATAGGGAAAAACTAAGAATAGACCATTTATAAGGATAAAATATACAGCCAGTAATCAAATGAAAAATGCTTACCTTTAATAAAAGAAATGCAAAATACAATAATAAATTCTACTTTTCACCAAACAGGTTTGCAAAAAATTAAAAGGCTGCTAATATCCAGTGTTTTGAGAGCATGAGTAAATGAGCACTCCACATTTTGCCAGGAAGATTCTAAAGTGATAGGGCGTTTTTGGATTTCTAGTATCTAACACAGTTTTAATTGTACTTCCTCTATAATCATTTCAGTTCTTGCTGTCCTATAGCAACTTGTATATGTGCACAGAGATCTATGTGTAAGCTTTGGTTTTGTAGTAAAAAAGAAAAAATGTCTGTTAATAAGAACAATGGTAAGTAAATTGTGATCATCTATTCTGTGGAATGTTGCAGTTGTTGAAGTACCAGTGGATTTATGGTACTGATGTAAAAAAAAAATCTCCAACATGTATTGCTAACTGGAAGCAAGCAACCTATAAAACATTTACTGTGAGCAGGGCTGGCTCAGTCAGTAGGAGCACACGACTCTTGATCTCAGGGTTATAAAAGTTCAAGCCCCACGTTGGATGTAGATCTAAGATCTTAATAAGATACTTAGGGGGAAAAAATTTAGTATGATCCAATTTGTATGTTATTTCAAAAATTACCAGGAAATTATATATCTGGGATGTGTGTGTATTTGATTGGGTGGAAATACACTAAAATAGATCTGGAAAAATCCTCATCCCAACAGTAATAGTGGGAGTTTCTAGGGTCAGAGGCTTTGAGTTTTTATTGCATGTTGCTTTTTTTTTTTTTTACACTAAGCACATCTACTCTTGTCTCTTTTAAATACATTTTTTTTTTTAAGTGAAGTAGTCTGAGCTCAAATTCAGCATTAAGAATATGAGTCATGGAACACGTGGGTGGCTCAATTATTTAAACAGCTCAGGTCATGATCTCAGGATCCTGGGATGAAGCCCCTGGGTCAGACTCCCTGCTCAATGGGAAGTCTGCTTTCCCTCTCCCTCCAACCCCCGCCCCCTGCCAAATAAATAAATAAAATATTTTTAAAAATATGGAGTCAGTTTACCATTGTTTAAATCACAGCTCTAATATCTGTTAGTTTTGTAAACTTGAATAAACTTTAGCCTTCCTGAGCCTCAGTTTCCCCATTGGTAAGATGGAGGTAAAAATAGTGCTTCATGAACCATGGTAAAGATTAAAAAGCAATAATATATGTACAGGGGTTAGCAAATTACCTGGGGCATCTCAGTGATCAGAGCAGGCTGCTGATGTTGCCGCTTCTGTCTTCATTATCATGTATCTCAAGCAAGACACACTTCATGTCACATGCATCTTTGGAAAAGGAGATGGTTTCGCTGACATCAGCGGCTCCCGTAGCTGTCAGTGTTTGGGTCATTCCAATGTCCTTATTGAATAAGAGCACCCCCATTCCACGGTTTCAGAACATGGCATTATCATGCCAGGGAAGCACTTTGGCCTCCACTGGTTATCCTTCCTTTTTTGTCACTTGCCCCGGCTCTCACAGTGTGAACTGAGATTTGGTCCCATCAAGCATGTTCTTAGGAATCTCCACAATTACCAGCCTTTTGAAGCCCAGGGGTGCGTATGCCGCCTGGTTGCAATATGTCAGCCTCTGTCTCCCCAGTTGGTCCTTTCTGATGAGACAGCAGCGGGCCCACATTGGAACCGACATCTAGTGAAACTGTCACATAAATAAGTCTCAGCAGGACTGAGACTTAACTGTCTTGTTCTTTTTCTGGGAAATTGTTCTCCCAGCCACCAAGTCAAAGACTGGTTGTGTGTTTCTTGCTGCTAGTAGGGTGAGTGAAGAATTACCTTGCCTCTTTTTCATTACAGCCGTCCCCAATCTCTTCATGCTGGAAACAGTGGATTCTGTGAAGTTGGCAGACAAAGTGAACAGTTCGTGGCAGAAAAAAGGTTCTCCCGAAAGGTTAAAGGTTATGGTCCAGGTTAACACCAGTGGAGAGCAGAGTAAGTGAGCAGACCTGAACTGTAGATTTTTCTTCCCGTAGGATGGTTGAAGGTCAGAAAGAATGACAAGCCTGAGTATGTGATAGCTAAGGTTCTAGAAGGAAATCACAGGCCTTTAAGAAAACCGTTTCCTGTAAAATCTAGATGGCACAGTGACATCTAAGCCAGTCCACATATAATTCTTTCATATATCGTGGTTTCTTAATTCTTAATTTTTTGGTGGCCCAGAAAAGGACGAGCCAGGAAGGGGACTGTGACTTAGATCTGAAAATTCCCAAAAGTCCATCACTCCTAAAAGAGATGGCAGAGTTACACATGTAATACTCAGGTGTTGAAATCAGACCTCGGGTTTGAGCTCCAGCACTTTCCAGCATTGTAACCTTGGGCAAGTTACCTAACCTCTCTCTACCTCAGTTTCCTTGGCGGACAGTGATAGTCATAACAGTGCCTACGTTAGAGGGTGTCAGGAGGATTGAAAGTGGTAATGTGGGTAGAGCTGTTGGCAGAGAACCCTGCACAGCTTACTTGCTAGCACTTGTTAAGAGTATTTACAGGTCAATCATTCGCTTACGACCAGCAGAGCACCAGTATTCACCATACTGTAACATGAAGGAACATGGTGCACACTGTTTTCCAGATAGGCCCTCAGGCCAGGCTTCCTGGGTTCAAATACCAGTTGCGCAGTTTCTAGTGGTGTGACCTTGGACAAGGTACTGAGCCTCTTTGTGCCTCAGTTTCCTCATCTTTAGAATGGAGAGAGTACTTACCTCATGGTTATTGTATTAAGTGAAAAGCTGTTAGGACTTGGCACATGTGCCTGACATATAAGTGTTCTGTAAATTTTAACAATTATCATTGTTTCTACATGCACCTAGATTATATATTATGTTGTCAGCATAGGTACATCTGAAATTGGTTCCAGGTCAAGTCTGTGACATCATTTCTTGATAATTAGCTGTAATCTACTATAATTAAAGATTAAAGTGGATGTTCATAGCCTCTCCATTTGAAAAATGAGGGAAAGAGAATATCAATATTCCTTATAACTGTATAACAATAACATCATTTGCTGCAAATTCCTCCTCCAGTTATTAATTAGCAAGTTCCATTACATTTTGCAAATGCATAGTGAAAACTGTGTGATATATGCTTCATTTTAAAACATTTACAGTGGGGATCCCTGGGTGGCTCAGCGGTTTAGTGCCTGCCTTCAGCCCAGGGTGTGATCCTGGCGTGCCAGGATTGAGACCCACATCAGGCTCCCTGCATAGAGCCTATTTCTCCCTCTGCTTGTGTCTCTGCCTCTCTCTCTCTATGTCTCTCATGAATAAATAAATTAAATCTTAAAAAATAAAAAATAAAACATTTACAGTTGTAATAAAATAATGAAATCAGAGCTAGGAAAAGAATCCTCCAGTGAATCTGGCATTTTGGCTACATGAGTCTTCTTGGGGTCCCAAGAAAAAGCAATGCTTTTTTCTTTTCCCTCTGTTCCAGCTGTTCTCAGCTCAGATCACTGAGATTCAGATGATCATTACTTAGAACCTGACTAGAAGGGAAGCAACATAGACAAAGACTTCAAAAATAAAGTTACTCTGTAGGACTTGATATGTTTTTTTCCAAAAACCTATCTCTTGCCCGAAAGTCACCTCCTTTGTTATCAGGATGGGACGAAAGTGAAGCCTTCCTCTGGCCAGGTCAAACAGTTTGGTACAAGTGTCTTCTGTTCCTTTTTGTGAAGGTAAACATGGCCTTCTGCCTTCAGAGACAGTATCCATGGTGGAACATATAAATGCCAAGTGCCCCAGCCTGGAATTTGTGGGGCTGATGACCATAGGAAGCTTTGGACATGATCTCAGTCAAGGACCAAATCCGGACTTCCAGGTACTGGGGTCCGAGGATGGGAGGGATTGCTCATGCGCTAAGGAAGCATCTTAGCGAAATGCTTTTGCAGGACTGGCTGTTGTAATAAACTTCAGAGACACCCCAGATATTGCCTGTCTGGGGTTATAACCCTCTTCTGAACTCTTCTCATAAGGAAAGGAGAAAATAGATTTCCAGAACCCTACAGACCTTTCTCAGCCCCACTTGAACCTGGTTAAAACACAATCTTCAGAGAAAATGAGTTCTTTTCTTCATTTCCATCGGCTGATCATTTTTGATTTTTTTTTTTTTTAAAGTAGAATCATGTACTCAAAAACTCTTTGGATAACTTCTGGAAACTTTGGCAGGCCTTGAAACCAATGAGGAATCAGTAACCTTCGGCAGAGATGTTCAGATTCAGCCACTTTAAAGATCCTTAGAGAAGGCAGGAATAAAATAAATGTCACGCTTGTCTGTCAGGTGTTACTCTCCCTCCGAGAGGAGCTGTGTAAAAAGCTGAGTGTCCCTCCTGAGCAGGTGGAGCTGAGCATGGGCATGTCCATGGACTTCCAGCATGCAGTAAGTGTCCTCCCAGGTGCCTTTATTTGCCTCGAGGGGAGGGTCCCAAAGGCCACAGCAGAAAGTGGGTTTTACCAAAAAAACCTTTGAAACACCTCATCATAGCAATAGGGCTGTTGCTGTCAACTGTTCCAACATCCCCCACCCCCTGCTTTTCTGAAATGAAATGTGTGGAAATTATAGCCTGACACATAACTTTTTAAAACTCAGTATCATTCTATAAGTGGATTCTAAAGAAATAAGAAGGGGTGCCTGGCTGGCCTGCTCAGTAGAGCATGTGATTCTCGATCTCAGGGTCGGGACATCAAGCCCCATGGTGGGTGTAGAGATTACCTAAAAAGAAAGAGGGGGATTAAATTATAATATTTTTAAGTTTATCTATTTTTAAGTAATCTTTACACCCACCGTGGGGCTTGACCTCATGACCCCAAGATCAAGAGTCACATGCTCTATCCACTAGGCCAGCGAGGCGGCCCTTAACTATAATTTTTTGAAAAGGCAATGCACTGTGTAATGTTTGGGCGTGGATATGTGAGTGTCATAATGACGAAGTCTGAAGTTAATCTTATGGGTAGCTTCACTATGAGTGCAATGGCTATAACTATATACTGATAAAGGCATGCTGCTTTGGCACCTCAAATATATGTTTTTCAGGACTAGTAAATAACTTGATAAGTGCTAAAAGAAAGTATAAACTTCACTCTGTGTATCCAGTAGTTGCATTCTTGGGAAATCATGTATATGAGAACAGTGCAAAAATACTTTGTGTTTATAAGTAAAATGGAATTAGATCCCATGCTCAAACAATCAAGAGGTTTTTTCACCTGCCTAACCCTGGAACATTAGAAAGGGGTGTGGGCTGTAAGATGCAGTGTGACATCTAATATCCCCGGCCCCAACTAAATGGCATTCATATTCCCTAATCACGGTGACAGCCAAGGAAATGCTTATTTTTCAAACACACCCCAAGACGTAGGATGACCCCAAGGTTAACCACTGCCCCGTGACCCTCTTCTGCTCCGTTATCGTTTTTCATGGAAGAATGAGAGGCACAGCTTCAGCGTTGGCTGCATTATTTTAAACTCAGGCCTTGATGCTTTCTCTTCTTTCCCACAGATTGAAGTAGGATCTACGAATGTCAGAGTAGGAAGCACCATTTTTGGAGAGCGAGATTACTCCAAGAAACCTCCCTTAGACAAGTCCCCTGCAGACCTGAAGACCCCAGTGGAAGTGGCGCAGGCACACTGAGCCCAACACAAACAGCTGTGGCTCCCATCCCGTGGGCCCGTCCAGGAAGACTAACTATGCACTCACCTGGAATTCCATTTTGATGTTCCCTGTGTTACAGCACAGCAACACTCTCCTTGTAACCTGGAGAGAGCATGCTGATGACTGTGTGTATTGACAGGAACCATCTGTACTTAGGATCTGGCATAACAAGCTCACTGCAGATAGTAGTTTTGGATTGGATTTGAGAAATCCTGACATTTCCACAGAACAGATACCAAATCAGTAGCCAGGCATCGAGTTCAGTTTTGAATCCTGCCCAGGAACACCAACCAACCCATGAATGCTTTTCCCAGATTAAAATGTGGCCACTGATGCCTGTAATCACCAAAGTGAGAGGGATTCGCATTTGTCATCCCCCTTAATAGAAAATTTTCTCCTACAAACCCCTCCTGAGTAATTGTCTTTGTTGCTGTGGAGCGAAGTGATTGCTGGCCCCAGTTCCACCACCCCCCACCCCTCCCCACCAGCAAATATTGTCTCTACTCTGGAATGACAGTACAGGTACCCCTCCAAACCCAAATCATTGCGGGTAAGAGTTTATGGCATTGGCCACCTTGTGGTGTTGATCCTGAAAATCACAGGGGTAACATAAATGGGCTTGGGCCTTTCTCACATCCTCCTGAAGAGACAGGGCTCTGAGCTTTTTCTCAGTGACAGGAAGTCAAGGCTGTGATTTCACCATAATCTTTTTAATGGTGATTTCTCATCAAAGACCAGTGAATCTCCTAGCTCCCCAGAAATTGCTTCAAGGCTAGTTCAGGTTTGCAGTTTCGACAAGGCCTGGCTTTGAGGTTCCCGTCCCTGCGACCATTCCCCAGGCACATCTATAACCTCCCCTCCCCTGCTACATTGATAAGCCAAAATTTTGTAACTTCTTGATTGTTAATAAAGTAGCAAGATATTCGAAAACCAGAAAGCACAATCCTCAGATTCATAACAGATGACTTCAGTCTGTTGTTTAGTTCCTAGATGTCTTTTTCCTTATTTATTTAAGCCCCAGTCTTTAATTTCATGAAACAACTTTCAGAACCTGCTGCTGCTGAATGTAATTTTGTAAAACTTAAAACCATTATGATAACTGTTTCAGTCAGAACTCTAACATGATGTTCCAGAGTATATTAAATAAAAATGTGAATTTGAATTATACCATCTGTGCCAATTATAAAGCAATTAAAAGATTTATTTTCTAAGACCTGGTGTAATGAGTGAGTCTAACAGGAACAGGGCATTGGAGCCAACACGTAGCAGCTGTGCCCGTCACTTGACACCGTGCCACTGAGCTTTAGAGGAAGACTTCCCTTGGGTCATAGATGCAGCCAAAGGCACACCGTGGATGAGAGGAATTCTGAACTTCTAAAGGCGAGAAAATGAATGTCCATATTTCAGCAATTAAAAGGAAGGTTCCCTCTTGCTGCAAGAACCTCTATTTTAAACGGCCCCTAGGTGGCGACATTGGTTAGCCTGTGGGGCCAGATTTCCTGGGAGGGGTCCCTCACCCTGAGTCTCAGTCCTTCAGTGGGCAGGAAAGGAGGCCAAAGAGAACACGATTTTTCCAAGTGATAGGACTGCCTCTTGCAAAGACACTAGGTTCCCCCAGATACCACATTTCTCTGCTAACTGGACCAGGGGTCCAAGGGTGGCTGCAGAACACTTTGGGAGAGGTGAACTGGTCTAAGCTTTTTTTTTTCTTTTAAAGATTGTTAGCTTTTTTTTTTTTTTTAAGATTTATTTATTTATTCAGAGAGAGACAGAGACACAGGCAGAGGGAGAAGCAGGCTCCACGCAGAGAGCCTGATGTGGGACTCGATCCTCCGTCTCAAGTATCACACCCGGGCTGCAGGTGGCGCTAAACCGCTGCGCCACCAGGGCTGCCCTGGTCTAAGCTTTTTAATAAAGAACTCTCTGAATTGTGCCTAGAGATTGGGAACAATGAAGGAGGCAAGCCAGGGGAGGGTGAATCAAACCCAGATAAGGAAAGGAAACCAAAGTAGGTCTGTCCAGTATACCCACAGCGGGCATGGGCCTTTGGCAGAGAGAAAAGCGAGCAAAATTATGACTTTGATTTGTTATATGGGGGAGGCAGCAGGTCCGAATACTCCCACGTTTTCATCAGATGTGATAGCATCCACACCAAGTTCCCTGAGTCACAGGAGCGGCTTTCTGGGGCAGACCCACCATGTGGCCTAGCATTCTCTGGGCCCCTCCCATCGCAGCCTGGGCCCTTGCCTGCCCGGTGCCAGCCTGTCACCCTTAGACGGGTCAGATGCTCAAAGGCTCCCAGTGATCCGGCAACGCTTTGTCCTTGCAAATTTCCTCATAGATTCCAACTGTTGCATTTCTTAATTACTAAAAACATACACTGCCCCTTCCTCGCCTTTTTTAAACGTTACCAGCCCATTAAGCACTCTCCCCTATATTGTCTCATTTTGCCCCCACAAAAATTGGTAGGGTGATTTTGGCAACATGGTGGTGTCCCTTTGTAGACAGGGCACTGAGTCCCAGAGACGGTTCTGTGCTCCTTTTCTGAGGTCAGAGTGGGTTCACGGCAGAGCTAGAAATAAACTCAAGGCTCTTGACTCCTAGTCCAGAGCTTCACTGCACCACACTGGTATGTTCTGTTGTCTCAGGATTGTAATAATTGGTAGGTGGCATATTCTTAGATTTATAGGTTTAAGTTAAGAGAAATGTATTACCGTAAAAGAACTGTATGTTTTTAGTCTATTGTAATTGTTGAGAACTGACACATCTTTAATGCAGAACAAACTCTGAAACCACAAGCAGTGGGGATGAGCAGGGAGGAGAGAATTAAACCCAGCCTGGGTGGATTAGGCTCTCCTCCTGTCATCCTGGTTCCCTAACACACTCATCCCTCCCCCAGATTCAAACTACCCCACGGGCTGAGCTGTGAAGCCCAGATCATGCAGAGTTGCGCCCTTCCCACACACACCCCCCCCCCACCAAGCCAGGCTGGCAGAGGATTCTGTTCCCCACTGCTACACAGGAGAAATGAGGTCACACAGGACATCCTTAACACCCAAGACACCTCTGTCCTTTTGAAAAGAAGTGGCCCTGTGCTTTCCACCAAAGCTCTGGACGGGAAGGACTCGCCCGCCAATTCCTGAAGGCCTTGATAAGGTGGCCTTGACAGCAGTGCAATTGGAACCGATCTGTTCTGGGACCTGCGACCGACCATCTTTACCATGAAATCAGTTGAATGCTATTACATCAGCCTGATGACTGAGGGCAAAAGAATCCAAACTGTCCACCAAGAAGCTTCGCTAATCTGCCCTCTCCCCTCAAGAGGCACCTAGGTAAAGAAAGTGTTCCCTTTACACACGGTCTGCTTCACCGCAGCATGCGTGGTGGCTGTGGGGGTGGGTGGGTGGCTATCCACAGAGTTGGGGGTCCCTGATCTTCAGCTCCTCCCCTAACATCCCTTCAGGTGTCCAAGGGACCCCAGAGCAAACACTCTTTTCCCTGAAAGTCCAGCACAGATAAGCTGAAATGGAATATGCTAGGGACAAAGGGGAAGGGTCTTTTGGCACCTTTCTTGTATTTAAATTTTTTTAATTTTTATTTATTTATGATAGTCACACAGAGAGAGAGAGAGAGAGAGAGAGAGAGAGAGGCAGAGACACAGGCAGAGGGAGAAGCAGGCTCCATGCACGGGGAGCCCGACGTGGGATTCGATCCTGGGTCTCCAGGATCATGCCCCAGGCCAAAGGCAGGCGCCAAACCGCTGCGCCACCCAGGGATCCCACCTTTCTTGTATTTAAAAGCAGTTTTCTGAGCTCACAAAGGAGCAGAAGCCACCTCTTGAGGGCCTGAGTGCCTTCTCCAAGCTGGGCTGGGGTGGGGGGTGCTCCCCAGGCTCCCTGCCAGCGCCTGCCTCACCCATGCCCCAGCCCAGTTCCCCTGCGCTCCAGCTCCAGAGCAAAGCCTGACCCAGCTGCCAATCTCCAAAATAAAATCAATGTGTGACCTTACCCACCAGCTGTCCCAAAGAAACTAGCACAAACTAGGGCCAACTTTGAAGCCAAGAAGGGAAGATGAGAAGTTGGGAGAGGGGGGGATAACTTGGCTGGACTTGAAAGGTGTCTTGTCTGTCTGTTCCCCATTAGGCGCAATTCTCTTGCAATCTGCAGCCTCGACATAATTCTCTTGACCAGAAACTCTCCAGAGAGATAGTGTCAGAAGGAAAAACAAACAGAAAAGCATCCCTGACAGCAAAATCACTTAAAAACCAGGGAGGGCAGGGAAAGGCCCTCCACTGTGGGGCCACGTGGGGAGACGCACTTACCCCAGGGCACGACAAGGACAGTGCCAGGAAGCCAAGCTCCCCAATCCTCTGCACCACAAGCCCCCCTGGCAGCAGAGATGTGATATGTCTGGTTTTCTCACCTGTGCACTCAACACCTGAAACCCACAGTGCCCGGCTTTTTACAAAGGGCTTGGGGTTGCACCCCAAGGGACTCAGAAGGACTGTTTTAGGGGAAAACAGTGGTCCCGTGTCCTGCCTCACTGTCCCATTGCTGACCGCCCCCCAGCAGTTGCTGAAGGCTGAAGACCCAGCTCTCCCTGCAGGCTGGCAGCCCGGTCCCCAGGCGGCAAAGACCCTTCTCCTCAAGACCCTTTGACCTGCCTTTGAGCTGAGCTGCCTGGCGTTGGGGAAGGCCGGCCCCACCCTGGTCTTCGGGAACCCAGAGGGTGAGGACTAGGGGGTGGGGGGTGGGTGCAGAGCCAGAGAGGACCCAGTTCTGGGCTCAAGTTTCTGGGGCAGGCGTCCCGTTAAGAGGAGAAACTTTTTTTTTTTTTAAAGAAAGAAAAACTAATCAGAAGAAAGAAGCAAGAGCTTTTCCCTGCCTTTCCGACTTGTTTATTACTAGGATATCTGATTTCAGCAGAGGAAGCCGGCACTGAAGCAAGGTTTTTATTGGCCGTGAGCAAGAGGAATTTCAGGGTTTGCCTCTGATTTGGCTTCCCCAGAACATGCGGCACCGGCACCGAAGAGAGCTCACCGCTTTCAGGGAGTAGCTTGTGCTTGGGGGGGTGGGGGGTGGCCAGAACTCCCGCTTTCTGCAGCTTCCACCAAAATTCCCCTTTGAAGAGCCAGGGGCCCAGCCTGGAAGGTGGCCTCATAAACATTTCAGAGAGGAGAACAAAATAGGGAACAAAATAGGGAACAAGAGTTAGGAAGCTCTGAAATTGGCTGGGGGGGGGGGGGCGGGGGGGCGTGAGCTGTGCTCACCGCACCCCTCCCTTCTGAGTGGGGACCTGGAGGAGAGTAGGCCGGGTTTGGTTGAAAGCACAGTGTCTCTAGCTGACAGAGCCAGGCAGGCTGCAGTCGCAGGGCCAGGCCTGATGGTTTCAATGTGTGGGGAAGATAAAGCCAGGATGTGCAGAGGCAGCCTCTGCCAGCAGCTCTCCTCAGCTGGGTCGGCCGGCCTCTGGGGAGGGGATTACCAGCTGGGCCTCAGGCTGGAGGAGCTGCTGCTGATCCCCAGGGCTCCCCACGGACACCTCCATGCACGGACAGCCCAACCTTCCTGCTTCCTGCTGGCAACTCCGTGGACAGAGGGCGAAGGTGTCCCTCCATCTGGGGCCTCTGGGTTTGGGGGAAGCCCAGCCATCTCCCTCTCTCCCTCCCCCTCCCCCCATATCCTATGTCTACCTACCTTGCCCTCTAATCCCTCTCATCACCTTCCCCTCACCAAACACCAGGGACAGGATGGACCTCAAAGCCAAGATCTCTAGGAGTCCCTGCCTTGCTGTCCTACTTGCCCCATCAGGAGCAGGATCCTTGTGCCGAGGGTGCAGAGACTTTGGGGGCCCACTTGGAGTGGAGAGGGCAGCCCCTCTGCCCAGGGATGGCTCTCTTCCAGATCCAGGTCTGGGAGCCCCCCCACCGCCCCACTCCTCTTCTGGGCATGGGTCTGTGCAACGGGTCCAGGGCCCTGTCCCAGGGCCAGTGTGCACCCCATGGTGTCGGCTGTCCCCAGCGGGCTCTGCTCACCTATGAGGGCCGGGCCCCACTCTGGAGCCTCACTGTGCCCTGGGAGCTCTGAACTGAGGCCCAGACTGGGGGGTGGGGGGGATAGAGGAACAGGGCTCTCACTGTGTCCACTTCGAGGAGCCCAGGCATCAAA